TAGAACAGAAGACCAACGGAGTCCCCCAGGATGCTCAAGTTTGAAAAATATAAAAGGGGAATGACGCGTTAAAATAGAAGTGGATTGGCAGTTCAGGTATTGAGGGGAGACATCAAGTCAACCTAAGTGTATAGGGTCCATCGGATCGTCCATTGTAATGGTATCTTCTAGTGTGCTTTTAATAATTTCTCTAATGATTTGTTGCTGTTGTTTTGTTCTGCACCACTTTTCGATTGGTTCCCTGATGTTAATATGATTCCCCCGGAGTGTCGAGAATTTAGGACATTCTGCAATTAGATGTTGAACCGTTTGGCTTTTGCCGCAGTATTTGCAGCTAGATGATTTCTGAAAAAATCTCGATTGGTGTTCTCCGAACACTCCGTGGGCGGTATAGAATTGGTTTATGTAAAAGTCACAATTTAAAAGTTTATCGCTGACTTTTGGAAAAAAATTTTTGGTATGTCTCCCGTTTGATGAACGGTCCCACCTTTCTTGCCATAAATCTCTGCTGACCTGCCGTAGTTTATAATTAAGCTGTGGTCTTGTAATAGAGTAGTAAAAATCTACTCCACTGAGCAGAGTGCTCGCTTTTGCTAGAGCATCCACTTCCTCATTTCCAGCTTCCCCCGAGTGAGAAATACAATTTATATGGAAAAGTTGGTTTTAAATATTTGCCAAATCAATTGGTAATTGTATTTTTAATTTTTCTATTCTTTATCCTTTTTATTTCTGCCTTTTTCACATGGTTTTTCAAGGCCAAAATTCCGTACTTAAGTAATTATTTACCTTGTGATCCTCAATTCACGAATTCCAATGCAAATCCATGAAATTTTCTTAACTTTTACTGGAAGTTGTTATAGTTTTTTGCCCATTTTCATAGATTTCTTAAATTCCAACATCATGCAATGTTAACATGTTATACGGATTTCAAAATAGAGTAATCAGTTTTTGATGTCTTTAATTTGAAACTATTCCATCCCAAAACCACGTCACATACGGATTATTATTTCAGCCATTTCCGAATGATTTTTAAATTTTGATAATTTTATATGATGTTATAATGACGAGCTACTTCGAATTTGATGCGTTCAGTTTGATCCAATTGTATCATAAAACCATGTCATTTTTTGAGTGTTTACTCAGCATTTATTTATCACTTGCAAGCCATCTCCAAATGCTTTTTTTTAATTCCAATATTTTTATACAAATTTGATCTTTAGATTTGATGCAGCTCGCAACAATGTCTTTTAAAATAGCCACTTATTTATAAAATTAGCCACAAGAATTCTAAAATTAGTCACATTTTATTTACTTTTTTAAAAATAGTAGCTATAGTCACCTTGCCTCAATTTTAGCGGTAAATAGTCTTATTTTAATTACCAGTAAAGATCCTTTGATTCTTTCTAAATGAAAAATTCTTAATATATACAAAAAAAAATGTTCAGCAAGTCAAAGAACTGATTATTTGATAAACTTAATTGTATTATATTTTGCTCAAACTAATATTTGGAGCATTCCAAGAGATTACTTGAGAAGTACATCAATCATTCTTTTGTCTTTTCTTACTATAATTAATAAAACTGATTTGGTTTAACTCATAAATTGCTATGCATAATTTTAAAGAAGCACATAAATACAATTTATAATGGGTGATTCCTAAATTGTGTTATAATGAATTGGTTGCATGATTCTTAAAATACAATTTGTTAATCCTGACAATATTTATTACAATTTGCAAACAGGAATATAAATTCCAGACTTGTAACTTCGCAAAATTTGACTCATAATATAGCATGAGATTTTTATTGCATTTTTTTTATTATTATAGGGTACATGTACATGGGTTTTTAATTAATAAGTATTTTAAATATCTCTGGTATTTTAAAAATTTACCTTCATTTAATGAATAGGGTGATGATACTCTTCTTCTTGAAGTTGGGGACTGTATATGAAACATTCCAGATCGACGAGCATACTTTTGAAAGCTTCCAGCATTCTTGCCATTATGTAGAAGATATTTATGCTCTATAATGAGAGAAAAAATGATACAATGCATACAAAATAACAATTACTTTACTTTCTCTCATTATAATATTGGAAAATATTAGGACTGATTGTTGTTGATGTTCATTCATCAGTCCAGGATGTAATATTAATAAATAATATGCATGCAGAGATAGTTCGTCAGTTTTAAAGATGCCAATCTGTAGGAATGGACTGTTCCATGCTTTTTGCAAGAGGAGAAAGATAGGGAATGCAATTCAGCATTTTTCCTAAAACAGACACAGCAGACAGAATTTATTCTCGATTTGTAGAACTTGGAAATCCAAATTAAGACATTACCTTTTGAATTAACAAAATGCATTAAAATGCATTTGGAGGCTTCGAGTTTGCCGTACATTTCATTAATTTTTGTTTTAGTTGTATTTATCCTTTTTTCATCAGTAAAAAGCTATTTTTTCTTTGCAGAGGGCTACGAATTTCACATTGTTTATATAACAAGAATATTAGTGCAAAAAATACTCAGCAAATGTATAACTGGGCAATAATACTTAAAAAAATATAAGTGATGGTGGTAATACGATGCATTTCCTACCTAACTAAATGCGCAAAAGCAAAGTAACAATCCACTCCCTATAGAGATTCAGTTCAGAATTGAAGGACAAGTGCTGAGCACTTGTTTCATAATGTTGTGTACAGGACAGCAGTTCTCAGTATTTTCCAGCTATGAAACTCTTAATAGTCCAGCTTCTCTTAGCAAAATCAGGGTTGAGAAAAAAATTTCAAAAATACCAAAAACCCAGTGGTGTATGGTTTTCTTTTGGTTTAAATCAGTTTCTATTTTTGAAAACTTGGTTATTTTGGTTTATTTAAAATAAAGATTTAAATGATACTTTCTGCTCGACATAAATCCATTCTCGTTCCTTAAGAGACTATGAAAAAAATTAGGCTATCACAGAATTAAAATGTCTTGTTATTGTTGATGCATTAAACAAATTTCATCATTATTTATTCAGGGATAAATACACCATATATACTTACCATGCAGTATTAGTTGGGCCAAAAAAAGTAAAAATTCTAAAAGGTAGGTTGTTCCACTGGTTTTTACAACTAAGTTTGCATGATTATGATATAAAATACATAAAAGATACCTTAAAGTTTGAAGTTGACATGTTATCTCAGGATATTCGTGACAATATTGAAAACAATAATTGTAATAATAATATTGATATAAATAATGTAAGCCATTTTTCACATCTCTTGCAATTAGTCGAAATTCGCTAAGTTCATCAAAATGATAATTAAAACAGAAATTTTATTGAAATTAATAATTAATGTTTTATGTTCAAGTAAAAATTGTTGTTCCATTTTCTTTAAGACATAAATTATTTTAAATTACTTATGAAAAATTCGGTCATCCTAGGATTCAAAAAACAATTTACTTACTCTGGTTTATTATTGGGACAATATTACTTTAGACATTACAAATCTTAATAGACATTGTCTTGCAACAGGACTTATTAATTTATACAAATGTTCTGCAAGCATTTCTGCATGCCTTATAAAAACTTCATGTTCTTATAAGGCAAGGCAAAACTTTGTTGCGCTTTTAATTAAATGTTCTCAATTATTTTTCTTATTTAATTCACTTTTTTAAATAATGAGTTTAAAAAAAACTAACCACTCAATTTTGGATTCTAACGAATGTGTTATAACTCTTTGGAGTCATTTAAAGCTTGATGGTTTTATGTATTTTCTCCCCACAAGCACAGCCAATTATGTTAATAATTTACTGAATAATAATTACAAAATTCTGATTATTTTTTAAATGATTAAATTCAGCTTAACTATAATCCTACTTTATTATTTAATAAAAAATAGCTATATTTTATTAGTTTTCGTATTTCCATTTTACTTTTTCTTAGTAAAGTAAGGGGATATATTTTTCTTTTTTTCTCTCTTTCATCTTCTGTTCACTGATACAGCAATGCATTTTCCCCACCCCATCGTAAATCAAAGAGAAAACGAAATCAGCATGCCACTCCTTTAAATTTGATTGACGGTAACTCATCAGAAAAACGATTCTTCCCGACACACAGGTTCAAATAAAGCATTTGTCCCTTCCCTGCCCCCTCTTGATCTAAAAATCTTCAAGATCACAGAAGAAATTAAGTTTTTCAGAACAAACGAGGAGAAAAATCCCCCCCCCCACATTTTCCTCTACTAAACTTAAGGATGAGTCACATTTCCGCATTCTTTCGTAATCGTTCTAGTTGAAAATGGCGGGAAAACTGAGCAAAATTTTCCCCGGCTTTCTGGATACCTAATAAATGGTTTTCTACTATATATATATATATATATATACAGGGTGTCTCAGTTAAGCGTTTCAGAACTTCTAAGAGGGGTAGGGGGCATCCTGACGACTCGAAATCATATAGCAATGTGAGGTCGGAAATGCTTTCCTGAAGCAGTGACGTACACAGAAGCACCATAAAGAAAAAAGACTGTAAGTGAAAAATCGTTTTAATAATACATTGAAAAAAGCATAAGGCACATGGGTCAAAGTAAGTGTTCGAAGTTTCTGCCACCGGTGACAATGCACACCTCACATCTCCGGTGCATGGACATCCGAACATTCTGCAATACTCCAGGCATATCTCGAATTTTCCCGGCAGCTACTGAGATTCTTGCAACCAGCTCCTCAGCATTGTCAACAGGGGAGTCATAAACCAGTGTTTTCATATGACCCCAGAAATAAAAATCAAGACATGATAGGTCGGGTGACTGAGGAGGCCAACGCACTGGAAAGCTCGGTTGGAACTTTCGAACAACGCCATCTACTGCGTCAGGAAAGCATTTCCGACCCCGCATTGCTGTATGATTTCGAGTCGTCAGGATGCCCCCTACCCCTCTTAGAAGTTCTGAAACGCTTAACTGAGACACCCTGTGTATATATATATATATATATATATAAAGCAACCTACCTACTTTTTTGACACATTGACAGTTAACAAAAATATCTTCTGTACTTTTATATTAACATAATTTTGATAATATATTAAAATAATTTTAATATATTATACAAAATATTAAATATATTTTTAATATAAATTATTGGCTAGTATGGTTACAGTATTATCTTTCAACTGTTTGACAAATCCCTTGAATTTAACTGGAAGTTTTGTTAGCTTGATTAAATGGCATGGCTTCCAACTGTTATAAAAGTTAAAAATAAATCATAAGAAAAGAAAAAGAAAGCAAAAAAGAAAAAACTTAGCTCTGTGGCCAAAAGTTATTTATTCTTAAATTAATTTTATTTTTATGTTAAAGTACAAAATCTTATAATTTATTTCAGCAAGTGTAACAAACATAAGATAGGATTAGAAAACATACCTTCAGAATCTAAATCAAAATCATCATGAGAGTATTTTTCAGGCCCATATGCAATGAAAATATCTTCTTCAGAAAAAAAATCGATAAGACTTGTTATCTATAAAAATAATTTGCAAATAAAAGCCATATACTTTTTAAACAATAATATTTATTATTAAAATCTATAAACAAAAAAAATCTGTTTTCATTAACATCAGCATGAACAACAAACACATTAATAGTTTTCAAAGCTTATCATACTTACACAATTCCTCTTTTACTTTTTCATTACTAAAATTCAACTTCATTTCAGTCACAAAATTACAGATACATTATAAGTTATATGAAACATATCTATCTCTTATAAACTGTTAGCTAATAACTGATGCTTTCTTCACACTTGAATGTTTGTAATTAAATAATTTTATCATTTTTCACGGTTTAACAACAATCATATTATCAGAAAAAGGTAGAATATGAATACTTATCTTTGCTTAGAAGAAAAATTCTGAAGGATAAAAGAATAAAATACTTAATTTAACTAACAAGGAAAAAAATTAACTTATCAAGACAGTTGTAGTGCATGAATATGAACATTCTGTAATCTCCAAAGACAAAAGTGATGATGTCTATGAATTTAAAGACTACAATAATCTATAATGATTCTCTTAGCTGGTATAGAATCTGAATTGGTCTAAGAATTATGCAGAGCTACTTAGCTCTCGGTATAAACATGATAAAAGAGGGATGTTTTTTCTCATAACACTTGGATCCAAACAATCTTTAACACTAAATTGCTCAAGGAAGTCATTTTGAATGCTTTTTAATTTCAATTAGAAAAACAATGATGTATATAAGACACAATTTCTTAGAATTTTGTGACTTTTTGTACAACATATAATTGTTTTGCAACAACAAATTTGAATATAAAACTAACTACACAAAACTAACATGCACTTACTGGTATTAAAGAAGAATGCAAAAAAAAATTTTTAACCATCTATGGAGAAAACTTTTTTCCATTTTCTATACAATCTTCAGAAAAAATTCTTCATGTTTATGCCATTTTTGCATTTTTTTAAAGAACATAAATTTAAAGCACAATTTAACATGGTTGTAGAGTAAATTTTTAAGTTAAATGCATTTATTATTGTTGTGCATCTGTTAAAACTTTTACTACAGATATGCATAATTTCAGGGTATTTTGAAAAAAAGAAATAGGATACACCTTTCATTAGTGAGCAACTTCAATGTGTTGTGTCTATTGTGGAATCTTTTTTATGTGATATGCATGTTAAGCATCATTAAATAATAATTTTGTGTGTATATATTGCTACATTTTTATGAAATTTGCAACAGACTGGTAATAAAACTGTTGACGGGGAGATATTTAATACAAATTTCCAGTTTCTTAATTATGAAATGCATGATTTGTGTTACTATAAAATAAAAGTGAACTTTGACTTTAATAGGGTTTCAATACTTGATTCTGTTTTCATCGAGTGACAAAAGTAGCACCAATTAAAATGTGTATCAAAAGTGATTGATGAGAAAAAAAATCGACAAACATCAGCTGTAGACAGATAAAATATTAGTTCAATAATTTTAACAAAATTTTTTAATATATTGAAAACAAGATTAACGTTCAACAAAAATTATGGCAACTATGAACAAACAGTTTCAATTTAATTTACCTGTCTGCCAGTTAGACTAAAGATTTTTCTCACAGCACCAGTATCCAGCTTGATAGCATTAGTGATATCATTCAAAACTTGATCAAATGAGTGAGCCGTTTTTTTATTAAGTAAAATACGGACAGCTTTTCTTGGTTTTAAGCCATTTCTTATAATTGTTATTAATTTAGGACGAATAAAATCTCTACTCTCTCTATTTTGTCCATCAGTCTCCCATTTTAACATTAGGTTATCGTCTAGTTTTTTTGTAACAGTCCAATGAGGACGTTCATTTTTCAAATAATCTAATTTAATGAAATGATCAGTTGAAGAACAAACATAGCTGTCACCTTCTACTAATTGATCAAGAGCTAAAATTTTGTCTTTACCATCAATTGTAAATATGTATCTCACACCTTTTGGTAAATTAACTTTGTCAACAAGTACTCTAGTTAGGTCTTCTAAAAGAACATCGAATGAGCGCACTTTTTCAACAGAAAGTACATATAAAAGACCTTTAAAAAACTTATCACCATTTCGAAAAAATGAAACTTTTTTGGCTTTCTTTTCTCGATTTAATTTTTTTAAGCTTGTTCTCATAGAGCCTTGAGCACTATGGGTAGGACTTAATCTTCCTCTATCATCTTTCTTTTCATCAGATGTTGAAATATTTCGATCAGCATTCTCATTCGTAAAAGAGTCCAAAACATGAGCCATATCCTAAAAATATAGTAGTTATCTCTTAAAATAAATATATGGGCAGATAAAAGCATAACTTACATTTCAAGAACAGGCTTAAAATAATGCAGTTTTAGGTGCAATTTAATAATGACTGTGTGAAGAGATACCAAAATATAAAGTGTATAAGGAAAGAGCAGTCAATTTCAAAATTAAATAACTTTGAAACAATTAGCAATAAAAGGATAAAATAAAAGGTAAAACTGATAGTCAAAGCTGTAAAAATTAAGTAAAAAATTTTTGAAATTAGAAAAAAAGTTACTAATTGTGAAAAGGCTTACTAGTTGTGAAAATGGGTTAGTCTCGCAAAAACTGAATCCTTATACATTTAATCTGTTTGTCTCACACCTCTATATCTCAAAATTTCCAAATTTCATTACATTTACGATTTAAAATAAATGTATTTTCCATGTCTATCTCGAAATTTTTTCTTTCAAAACCTCTGTTTCTCAAATTTTTAATAATCAAGCACAAATGCCCAAACATAACAAAGAAGGTTAGACGTCAAAAATTTTAGAAAGAATATTTTCAGTGTTATTGGTATTAAAAAAATTTTAAGTAAATAGATTATGTGCTATAATTAATTTACAGAAATGCCTATATTTTTCTACTAAAAGCAATTAAAGCACTTTTAATCGAATTTCTTAATTAAATGTAATTTTTTTAAGCACCTGTATAACTCGAAAGCTCTTTATCACGAATTTTTCGCCTTTCCCGTGAGATTCGAGATAAACAGGTCCAACTGAATATTAAGTTTTTAGATCCCTATATAAATCCCTGAGCAATCAATTCCACCAATGAATTGAGGCTATGTCCAGATAGAAAACACACATTAAATGGTATAATGCATGTTTCTGGTTCTGGAATATCACCAACCAGATCACAGCCTAATTACAAAAAGGTCAAACTGAATAACATAAAATTTTGTTAACTTTAGTTTTATTAGTCTTTTTTTTTTTTAAAATTTTGTTACTTATTTTAAAAATTATCTATCAAATTCTACCAGCTTTCCCTATTAGTATTTATTTATAGCTGTTTCAAAGTTAATCTTGAAAAGGATTACTTTTTGTTGGACATCCAATAGTAATTTAAGGCAGGGTTAAGGCCGCAGTAATAATTTGTCTCCGGGTTTTTGAAATTTGAGTATTTTTTTATAGGAATAATTGGTGTTAAAAATTTTAATTTTCGCTAGCCAAGTGTACAAATATTGTTATTGCCTATGCTAACATGAAATATTGTTTAAATTTGAAGGCTTTTTCTAGTTACTGATTTGGCATTTGAGAACTTTTTTACATAATCGATTCCAGATTATTTCACCGTAAATTCATGGCGTTAACCTAAAGATTTTCGGCCACAGTGTTTTGAATTCTGATATTTGTAATTAATATAATATTATTACAAAACACAAATTTTGGTTTTGAGTAATGACTATTTGGTAATGATTCATTCAAAAATCAGTTTTTGACTTGCTTTATTCCATTGAAACTCACAGTTTTTTACTATCATTTTAACTTGATTTTTTTAAATTCTGATACTTAAAATACAGTGTTATTACAACACACCAGTTACGAATTTTAAGAATTTCCTTGCAACACATTCTAATTGTGATGATTCTATTGCAAATTTATTTCTATTATTTACCATTTTTTTCAACCTTTTTAAAATAGTTTTTCCAATTCTGATATCCTAAATAAGAAGCTATTATGACAAGCGAACTTCAAATTTCAGTAATCACAATTTGACACACTTAATTTGTAGCGGGAGGGGAGGATCCACCAAACTTGTTTGTCAGATAACAGGTAAATTTACCAAAATAAAACGAAAATTGTTTATTGTTTTGGAACAATGCAGGTGACCGAATTTTGCACCAAATTGAGCCAAAATTGTGCTCACTCAATGAAAATTAATAAGAGCAGTTTGAGCAATTTTGGGAAAAGACAGCATTTTGAAGTAAGTTGGTATAGAAATTTTGTTTTGGATCAGTTTGATGCAATTTACTTCGCTGTTCCAATACTACCCTCAGGTAAAACTAAAAACATGAAAAAAAAGGTTATTTATACTGACATCAGGGTTGGGTTTTTGACGTCAAGAAGCGGTTTTTGACATGACAAGGGTATAATACTGGTTTAAACCGTCAAAAACTGAAGTTTGCCAAGAAAATATATAAACTTCAAAACTACCAACAGTTGCCATGCATTATATTGAAATTCAATTACAGTGTAACGTCCCATATCCGGACGTCCCTTTTCCGGAAGGGTCAATTTCCCGGACACTTTTTAACAATCAAAATAAACAAACATTTCTTCATCTTCCCCACTCTCTTAAAAAAAAAAAGTATTTTGACAGGTTTTTTCCTTTCTTAGCTTCTAGTGATCTATGCATTAAACCCATAAATCAACAGAAAAGAGAACAGAAGATCTACCAAGACCGTACCGTTAGTAACGCCCCTCCTCTGGAATGCAGGAAAGGGGGGGGAGAGATTTGTTTTCAAAAGAGCACAATTGAGTCCCCTCCCCCCCTCTTTCCTGTGCAGCTGGCTAATAAAAGAGGCATTTCCTGGAACCTTTTTGATAAAGTGTTAGGGAAAGAAGTACTGTGAAAAAGGGTAAACACAGCAAAAGTTGAAGTGGAGGGGGAATCCCCTTTAGTCACACAAGAAAAAAATAAAGAGAACCCAATCTGCATGCCACGCCTTTATGCTTGATTGATAGCCAATGATGGGAGAGAAAATAAGAATTTGTCACTACCCCGCCCTCAACTTGAATGACAAGTAAGGAGGAAATGAATTTTTCTTCTCCACCTACCCACCTTATTGAATGACGGGAATTTCCCCTTCTTGCTTGAATCGTTCTAGTTCAAAATGGTGGAGAGAGCAATTAATATTTTCATAACTGGGAATTTTTTTCGTTTTCTATATTTATTTTTAGAATAGCAATAATTATTTTTTTTCTAATATTTT